TCATTGACATGTAAATGTTTTCCCTACTGTCTATTTAAGGCCACCCCACAGAGACGATCACCTCTCTCTGTACCTGGGTTGCTCTCTCTATGTATCTTGGTGATATCTGTCTGCTTATATGTCTGTCTATAGTTTTCTGGTTATATTCTATGTCGCTATTTCATTATACCTGATGATGATTGCTTGTGTTGCAATCGAAACGTCGTATGCTATTATTTAATTTATTATTTTATTTTTATACGTGACTTTACCGAAAAAAAAACAAAGAATAACCTTGCTCTATTCAACAAATGTGTAAACGTGTAACTGTTGCACTTTTATATATGGTAAAACCCCACTGTCCAAAAGTAGACGTGCCCTCGCCTGTGTGATTGTTAAATTATTCTTGGGTACGATGGAGATATAGCCACACACTCGCGCTCACTTGGCACGCTGCATGCAAGAAAACGATAACACTTAGAACCATCTCACACAAAAAAATGTTCAACACACGTCAACCCCAAAGGTTCAAGTCAGTGAAACCCTGACAGAAAAACCTTGGGAAAACCCTAAGAAACTGAGAATTGGAGGAAAAGAAACATTCAATTGTCAAGCAGATGAGGGCAAGGCTACTTCTAGATAATGGGGGGGTGGAGATGGATACCATGAGTCGCAAGAGCAACCTGTGAGACTTGACATGCATGTGTTTGTTGTTGGATGCTTGATATGTTGGACCTTTGCTCAGCAAATGCAATAAAAAAATCACATTTAACAAAATTGCTGGTCGTTGTCTTTATTGTGTGCTCTTTTTAAAGTTGCAAGCTTACATGAAGACTAATTAAAATAATGTGAAAAAAAATCCATATGTTCGCATCAGTCACAACCAACACATTATCACCAAACTGATTAGAAAAAAACAAATTTGGGAACAGAGTTGACATGTCAGATGGAGGCATTGGATGTAAATGGTCGATAGTTTTATAACCAATCAACATGAGTGCAAAAGCTGATGCAAGGAATTTGTAAACCACATTAAAGTCCATTGAAATGATTGGAATGGTAAAAATTAATCTTGAAGAGCAGTATGCATGTGTAATAAAAGACTCCGTCAGGCACTGCTGGTCTCCTCTTGTCTTTAATTTAGGTTCTTCTCCGCACCCCCCACTGGCCTCCTCTCAGACCAGTGTCGTCTCGCGCGCGCCCAGTGCACGCTCCCTTTTCTCCTCTCGCGTGCTACGCCCCGCGTCTCTCTCTCTCTCGCGTGCTACGCCCGCTCTCTCTTCTCGCGTGCTACGCCCGCTCTCTCTCTCTCTCTCGTGCCCCGCACGCTCCTCCGTTAGCTCCTCTATTCCCGCACTCCGCACACCGCTGGCCGACGGCGTGCTGAGGTCCTTCGACCACGTGGCCGATGGCGCGGATCTTTCCTCACCACCCAACGTGGCTCAGCCTCTTAACTTCCCCGACTGCCCCGATCTCTTCCGGGCTCCCCCTTCTATACATTCCTCCCACATGACCCTGACTCCTCCCCTTCCGGATCGTCAGATCCGGCTTTCCCATACTACCCCGCTGGCTCCGCCCCCATTCACCTCACCTCCATTGGAGCCGAGGTGAACGGTGGCCCCTCCCACACGCCCCGCAGACCAGGCTCCGCCCCCCAATACCCCGGGCCGTGCGATTGGACCAGAGCCCAGAAACAACCCCATTTACGCTCGCATTACACATGCACAGCTTTATAATCACAACTACTTTGAATTCAGTCGGTGCTATGGTTCACAAAGTTATGAGAGCAGTCATAATAATATAATACATGCAAATACATATTCACAACATAAAATAATTATCTATCCACTAGAAACTGTCTATGACAGTGCAAAAGTCAGACATACAAGTAGAATATGAAATAGCGCACCAAATGTCCACGCAGTGAATGGATGCAGAGTTCACATCCCACTTACATGCTTGCCTTCGATGTTTTCAATATCGTCAGATGTCAATTGCTCCTCTTTTTCATTCTTTATCTTCTCTTTATATGCCTCTATTTCCCTGCGGGGCAGAGTATAAAACCGTTTTTTTATTCACTCAGTCTGTCAATACCAGTGAAAAACTTAAATAACCGAAAGTGTTGCTGATTAACTCATTCGTATGAGAGTAACATTTTTCGTGTTGCTGGCACAATGCATTGTGGGAAGATTTATTTTTCAAAAATTCCACTCACTGGCTTTCCGTGGCTCCATTACTATTTCAATGGAAGGAACTTAACTGTCATGCATTGATTAGACAGATATGCTTAGATTCAGGATCATGATTCAATTCAAGGTTATGTATGTATATATTATGAAAAAATAAGAATAGGTTTTACCCTTTCTGGCAATAAAAATAGGTGTTAAGATGTTCAAACACAAAATTGAAACCCTTTGCAAGTAATCTGACACTGGTGAGACTAGGCCCTAAAGAAGGCTGTCTCTGGTGTAGGCCAATCAGTTTCAAAGAAATTGCATCATCTATTGTCAGAGCATGTTTGTTTGCATGTTCACCACAAGTACGTGTGGTTAATGCAAACTTGATTCCTTGCAAAAGGTCTCTATTTAGTATTTGAACATCTTAAGACGTGTTTTTATTGCTAGAAAGGGTAAAACCTATTTTTTTTGTCATACTTTGATACTGGCAAAAAGGTTCCATTATGTATTTTTTTCATTTTAGCGAATGTGGTGGTCTCTAGCCACCCCAGGGATCGCACAAACCCATTACATACAATACATACTCATTGATTATTACACAGGAAATCTGATGCATGTATCGCAAGCTAGAAGAATCTATATTAATACAACACTGTTAGATCCCTATTCATTACACTCATGTTTCGTACTGTGCTTAAATATTGGCACAACATAACATAAATTTATACAACAGTACCACAAACTTGATTTTGTGTTTAAATGAGCATTTGGTGGTGCTCATCTGCTGATTACAGCCCAGATCCAGTAGTGGTAATTAAAGATTCATATGACAGTGGTTAGTCTATCAATAGGACAGGTGCACTAAATGTCCAAAATATAACGTGGCTGGGTACCAGCACTCACAGAGTTCAAGACGTAAATGTCTCACAGCAGATTCTAATGTGGAACAAATTTGATTCTCTTAGAACATTCAATTAAGATATTGTAAGACAAACACTCAACCACAATCAATTCAGTGATGCGGTGCCCAAGATTACTAAAATGACATTCAAGATTAAACCAAAACCGTTGACCTCTACAACTATGTCATTTTCAGTGCTGATAACACATCGTAACATAAATACCCTCTGTGTGGCCTCATTCACTGCCAGCATACACGGTCCAGTTCTTAAAAGAGAGCATAAACTGAAATATATTCTCCTATGATAAGTATTCTGATGGCATAAGAGGTACACTTTGTTAAAAAATATATATATGGGGAAAATAACATGTAGCTAAACAAACCAGATACATCTCACTATGATCAAATGTAATATACAAAAATGATCCCAATTACACTGCGATCACTACAGTACCTGATATGCATCTGCAGTCTTATTTTGATCAATCCATTGCTGGATGAGGGCTACCTCAAGCTCTGTGGTTGTGGGAGTTATTTTACCATATTTCACCACACTGGTCATTGCGAGCTGGAGGTGGGGAGCATAGATGTGGGAACACAGAAAGTAGAGAAAACCCGATTGATGTTTTTGCACTGCCGTTTGCTGCCCAACAAATAACCCTACAGATCTGTTCATGACAGTCACCCATCCTAGCACTATCCAGTCTCAAACCTGCTTAGCGTCTAAGTTCTGTCAAGATCTGGTGCATTCCAGTTGATTTGGTCATAGGATTGGTGGCCAAGTGGTAGAGTGAACATAAATGCTGTTTGAGAGGTTGATTCAGCTCATCATCCCTCCAGGGTTGTTAAATGGGTACCACTTTGTGAAGAATTTAACAGTGGGAGTCCTATGGATAGACTCGCATCCACTATAGGAATGTAAATTTCCACCAATGGCTCAGGAGATGAGCATCTTCTCAATGCTCATTTGAACAAGAAATCACTGTGACTTTACACTTTTACTCTATTTTTATCAACAGAAATATGTTCGACAAGAAGGCAATGGTGACACCTGCCTACCGTTCTTTCTGCTCCGTGATGAGCCTGTTGAGGTAGGCCTGCAGCTCAATCTCCTGCTGGATCCTCTTCTCCTCCAAGCTGCTCCACCTGCGCTTCTTGGCCATCCGTAGCGCACTGGCAATGTCATCCCCAAAGTTCAGCCTCTGCTCTTTGGCAAGGCTGTACGCTGAGGGACACACGGAGACACATCGGCAAGAGCGGCAGGGCCGCAGTTCACACGTGCTTATCCTGGATGGAAGACGGCAGCTCTAATCTACAGTGTCGCCAGACTGTGTGTCTGTATCGGGTGCTGGTTTTGCAACAACATACGTTATCTATAGGACTGCTACCAACTACCACAATACAGGGTGCTTCCAAAAAATGTTAACACTTCTGGGAATTTGCAACAATACCACGAGAAATGTGCCTCCGGGCTCTGGAGACCACCTGGAGAAGAATCCAGGCATGTGTTGACAATGATGGTGAACAAGTGGAGACTGACTTTTTGAAGCTATTAAAATACATTTGTTATCATGTTACAGTGTATTATCCGTTCTTTTTCCATTAAAAACGATAGTCCCATATAAGTGTTAACATTTTTAAAGCACCCTGTATACCATTTATCCTGTTGAATTACTGCAGGTATTTTCATTCATCATCTGTGTATCAATTGTTACCTCAATGTAATAATCCTAGAAGATGTACAGACCTAATGAATAATATTTGCATTTATCAGAATCAGAATATGTTTTTAGACTGTAAGAATCCGATAAGATACGAAGCTCTTATTCACGAGATGTGCAGTATTTATATTGTGCCCATAACATAACACTGAATCCCAGAGCGCAGTTATAGCTTAGTGGACCCCCCTAAAGGCAGCTGTGTTCCTCTGCGGCACAAGGTGACTCAGCACCAGCCTGCAAGTGAACATTAGTCTCACAGTAGTAGGTTTTTACCCTTTTAAACTGGTACAAAACTGACACCTTTATTCAAGGCATCATGTTTGCAATAACCACAACACAAGTAGTCAAAAAAGCAAACAAAGAAGCAACTCTGATAATGATAATAATATGCACTGTCCTTGAAGTTGATTGGTCCACACCCGAGACGGCTTTCTTTAGAGCCTAGTCCCCATTGGTGTTGGACCAGATGACACCAGAAGAAAGCCGTCTCGGGTGTGGACCAATCAACTTCAAAGACAGTGCATATTATTATCATTATCAGAGTTGCTTCTTTTTGTTTGCTTTTTTGACTACTTGTGTTGTGGTTATTGCAAACATGATGCCTTGAATAAAGGTGTCAGTTTTGTACCAGTTTAAAAGGGTAAAAACCTACTACTATATTTTGCCACTGGTAAAAGAGATCTCATAGAGTAAATTAGTCTCACAGTCAGGGGAAATTATTGTGGTGTATAATCCCAATTGAGTAATGAGCGGGTAATTTATGAATGTCAAATTTAGATCACTAGAATGTCGGCGGCCTATGGCTGCCTTATTCTTACTCCTGCCTTAAAAAATAAATCTGGACTCTATTGTGCATAGGAATATATGCCGAGAAAATACATTTCTTTTTTGCGGGGGAGTGATTTTTTTTTTCGGAGGGGGGTCGACAATTTTTGGAAAACTGGTGGATACATTTTGTACCCCCACATCCAGGGGTGGGTGGGTCCACTTTGTATAACTTTTTGATTCAGGCCTTCTGAAAGGCTCTTATAATTTAATTGATGGACAAACGGACCGCCGGGCTTTTATAATAGAAGAGGCCAGCACACAATGGCCTATTCTTCTGAATGCCGTAATTGGATCTTTTGCGACCACTGTCAACTACACAGCGTATATATTTACGGTTAATACACACGCACACATTTCCAAACTAATATTGTCACATATATACACTAACCATGGTAATTAAGTGCTGTCTCTTTTGGTCATTTGCTCAAGCTTAATTCATTTGGGCCCTACAATGTCACGTTGTGACTTGTAACAGAAAGTTACTCGGTTGAAATTTATCAGCAAGGCGACAACATCTTGCTGATGAGAATGTTGGAACCGGTCCAGGGACTGTTTTCTTAAAAAAATATGTTACTGGAATTCACTTATCCAGAAGGTTCAATAGTTAATGTATTAAATTTTGATATATGTACAGTATATAAAGTAGGTAAGTGTAAATTGTTAAAGCAACCGAGGTTCTGCCACGATAGACCAAAAAAACTCAATCATGGCAGTGGAGGGTTAATAATTAACAGTGGACAACGGTGACAAATCAACATCAACCTTTGTCTCTTCACTGCTGGATGAAGGGCCTCCCCACACCTTCACCATCCCTCATCGCAGTCCTGTACCACCAAAATCCATTTCATTTCCTGCACATGAACTTATCTCATCACTCCATCTCCTTGATGGCAATCCTCTTGGATGCACGCTCTTTTAGCGACCATGCCATCAGCACTATTACACCTTCAAGCGATGTGTCCTGCCCAAACCTGCTTAACTTTTTAACAGTTAATAATGTGACAGCCAAAGGAGGGAACGCACTAAAAATATATTCAGCACAAAGACAGATTAATGGAATCTGCTTGTGTGCAGGTGCTAAATGGATTGTTACATCATGGCTTGGAGGCCTTCATTCCATATGTGGCTTGATAATATATCTATTGCAACTCCATCCTTGTTAGATCTTCATAAAGTAACCTGAAGAAACTCCAACAGTTGCAAAAATATCCTACCCATGTCATCCTCCGTAACGGTCATCCTCAACTCGACACCTTTCCTCCGCTCCCTCCAATGGCTTCCTATCATCTCCCGCAGGGTCGAGCTACAACATGGCCTGCCTGTGCCACCACTGTACCTCTACTCGGTCGTCCACCGTGTCTCTCTTCACTCCTCTCACCCTGCACCAGAGCTCACGGTAAGAATCCCCGCAGCAGTAGTAACAGCAGCATCGCGACTCACAACCTCCTCTCTACACTGAGGACCAGGACGATGGTCACTGCCAGGCATCGTTTCTCCATAGTAGCCCCCACCGTCTGGAACGCCATACCACTGCACATTTGTAGCATTCAATCTACATCTCCTTTTAAGAGACACTTAAAGGCCCACCTCTTGCCTGGCTTTTGAGTGGCACCAAGCATGGCTAAGTTTGTTTCCAGACAAATGTGCTCTTTTAAATCAACGAAAGTCGTTGCAAGCTAATGTTGGACATATAAGTTACCCGGAAAGGTGTGTAAGTGTGTACAAGCTTGGTGTACGTGTGCAAAATGCAAGTTGGTGCATGTGCAGACCCAGCTGCAAGTTGGCGATGGCCTCATCATAGTTCTCCAGCTCCAGCTGGCTCTGGCCCATGAAGAAGTGGCCCTTGACCGACTGGCTGTCAAGTTCCAGCGCATGCTTGCAATCGGACACCGCCTTCTCCCACTGCTGAAGCTTGACGAAGCAGAGCGCGCGGTTCGTGTAGTACGCCGCCACAAGCGAGTTGCGTGTCTGTCGAAGGGAGAGGTGCACACAGCCAGGCAGTGTTTTCAAGTTCCATTTATTAGGTATAGCCCTGTGACCCATGCGGCTCTTGAGTCGGGTGGAACCGCAACAAACAAAATATGAACACAGAACATCCCAAAGCGACGACGCCCAACAGAAACATCCTGGAATAAACCAGCAAATATAAAAAAAAACGTTTTAAAACGCTGTGTGCAAAAATCACAATGTGGTGCAAGCCAACAACAACAACCATAAGACAATTTATATTAACCATGTTTTCGAATCACCAAAATAAAGCTATAAAATAATGTAACAACAATCTTGATTTGTGATTTATTTTATTTTATACCTAAGTGATTTTACCGAAAGAACCAAAGAGTAATGTAACAACAGTAATCATAGGAACTGTGATTTAAATTTAACAATAAACAATATACATAACACGTATGACCAGACTTGCAGCCATAGCTGGCAGCATGACAATCCCAGTGTATGATGTGTGAGTCAGCGGCAGCATGAGTGACTGTATGATGTGCGAGTCAGCGTATGATGTGCGAGTCAGCGTATGATGAGTGTGTCAGTGTATGATGTGTGAGTGAGTCAGTAGTAGTGTGAGTGAGTGTATGTGTGAGTTAGTCAGTTTATAATGTGTGAGTGAGTCAGTGTATGATGTGTGAGTGAGTCAGTGGTAGTGTAAGTGAGTGTATGTGTAAGTCAGCGCACGATGTGTTAGCGCATGATGAATGAGTCAGTGTATGATGTGTGAGCGAGTCAGCGGCAATGTGAGTGTGCCAGCGCACGATGAGTGAACCTGTGTATGATGAGTGAATGGGTCAGTGGTTGTGCGAATGTATGATGTGTGAGTGAGTAAGTGCATGATGAGCGAGTCAGTGCATGATGTGTGAGTGAGTCAGTGTATGATGCGTGAGTGAATCAGTGTATGATGTGTGAGAAAGTCAGTGTTGGCTCCCTCTGCTCGCGCCGTTGCCCCCCGGCTCCGTCGGCCCCCCCCCCCCCCCGGCTCCGTCGGGAGCGCGCACCCCAGGCGGCCATCTTTTTTTATTTTCATTACGGCCCCCCCTCGGCTCCGTCCGCCCCCCGGCTCCGTCGCCCCCCCCCCAGCTCCGTCGGCCCCCCCGGCTCCCCGGCCCCGTCGGCTCCCCCGGCTCCCTCCATCGGCTCCCTCGGCCCCCTAACAAACGGCCCCGCCAGCCGCTGCTGTGAGCGCGACCCGGGAGCGCGTGCTTCACGCGTCCATACTCGAGCACCGATGAGGATTCATGAATGCCGCTTCGTTCTAACGCGAGCGTACGTGCGCGCTACCGCGCGTGCGTCAGGCCGACGCGCGGGCGGCCGCGATCGCGAGCCCTCATTAAAGTGACTGTTAGAGCATCAACACATTTGTGTTTTTCAGTGGTCGAAATGTTTAACGGCACATTTAAAAATCAATACACCAAATATTTGCCCAACACGGGGGTTGTGTTCTTGAAAATAGCCACAATCACCAAAACCATGATCCACTAACTTATGCAGCAGGATCATTGCGAGCAGTGCAGTTAGAGGACAGCACTTCTTTACAATGCACACAGGAATCTTGTGGTCAAACGCGAATGGTCAAGCAATAGGGACACAATCGGCGAAATATACCTCAAGAAATTTGGCATAAACAGTCAAATCCACGAGGGGCAAAGTTTGAGTGTACATTGTAGCACAATCAAACTTCACCCATCTCCGGTTTTCCCTTTATAATTATACATATGTAGTGGGCTCAGATAGGCAAACACAACTTCTTGGGAGGCAACACTATTTATTAACACCAACACTGTGTTACATAGGGTGGTAACCACCGTCCTACTCTCGCTAACACACACCGTCTTCTCCAACTAACACACAACGTCCTCTCTTGCACTGACTCTCGGATACCCTAGCGTGACCCAGCCAGGTGGGCTACTGGCGGGTCCGCTGACCTGAGGCTTGACTCTTGTTGGCGTCTTCACGCTTCATCTTCATTCTTCATACAGGCAGCCCCGAATACAGAGATGAGGCCACTTATATAGGTCTCGGCGTGTCCGGGCTCCACGCCTTCCTTCGAGAGCCCTTTCCGAAACCCCTCGGCTCCCACGTGCCCCCTAAAGTGGCCCCGGGGCCCCCGGCCCCCCACCGGGTTTCGGTCCCGTGTCCGGCCGGGTTCACCCAGAGTGCCACGGCCTCACACCACCCCCTGTGGCCTCCCGAGTCCAGACTTAACATCATTCCCACCACTAGCCGGGATGACGTCATGTGTGTTCCGTCCATGTGTGTGGACCCGCAGGGTAGTAACGCTCCGCCCGAGTAGTGACGTCACACATGTGCGTGTGTAAAGTAGTGACATTACCAGTCACTACACATATATTAAATAGTACAGTATTTACTTATAATAGTAATACATTATACATTGTTATATCAAATTATATGATTAAAAGGAGGCAAATAATATTGTACAATTCATAAATGCATAGAACAAATAATTTTCTCCGAACAAAATCACCAATTAAAGTAATCGCTTTCAAAACACTTATAAGACCTAGCTCACAAACACCTGGAACTCAATGCGAAATCCGTAGCTGCAGGGCAGCCATTTTTTAACTATTAACACCAAAAATCCATAATACATGTTTTTGGGGGTTTTGTTGGTTATATTATGTAGATTATGCATAAATTTACGCGATCTAACCCAAAAAACCTGTATTATGGATGATACTGGTCGCAAAAGCCTACGTGTTAAACGCTGAAAAGGTTAAATAACATTTTAATGAACAAACTACCCAAATAATGGCCTCTATGTTCACCATTCACAACCTATTAGTCATGTTCCGATTGCTATATATGTGTAGTGTGTGTATCTCACGAGGCACACACAAAAGTCTGGAGGCACCACGATTTATTAACAACTGAACAGGGCTGCGGGCTACAAATACTCGGGGTTATTCGAGACCCCCAAAGGGGTGTCTATGCAAACCGAGTCCCGACGAACGACGCTCCAAGTCCCCCGAAGCAACGCCGCAAGGTAGGCTCTTCCCGCCAGATAACCCCGATTGCTCCGCCTCCGTCCCTCTTATTCTCTCGAGCGTGGCCTTGCTCCGCCTCCAGCCACACCCTTTCCCCCGTTTCCGGGCCCCCTTCACTACTCCGTGTCAGCACGTCCCCTCTCTCTCTCTGGGACGGGACCCTGCTCTGTAGGGCCTGTTTCCCCGCCACGTCTACGTCGGCCCCATCGAGAGGTATGTGCACACTTATTTACCAGTTGTGGTTTTAGTCGGCTTATACGCCGTAGAGACGCTATTTACGTCTAAACATCACCCACCCCTTTATGAAACTCAGCCGTCTCAGCTGACCGACATAAAACCCACACAACGTGTGGGCCTCCAACTTTTAACGCACCAACAACAACAATAACTAATCCCAACGAGGAATAAAACGATATTTACACCAAAATCAGGACCAGGGAGAAGAAGAGTACGAGGGGAAGGGAAAAAGAAAAGTTGCAACTATTTACAATGGCTGACCCACCCCCCAGACAAGCCCACAACCACACCCCGCATATGTAACACCGCACACGAGCACAAGATGAGCCCGGGTCAGCCATTGACCCATCTGGCTCGAGTGGCGCCCGCGGACCACGGGTATAGGTGCACTTTAACGCCGGAGGATGGTCATTTAAATCGAGCAGTCTTTTCCAGAGTCCTTGATGCCGGGTCATCAAGCGAGGAGGGTGCGGGCCCCCTGGACGTTCCGGGAACAGCCGGAAGATGACTCGATGAGCACGGGACCTCCCGAGGCGAAGAACCCCCAAGCAATGGGGTGTCAGGCGATGGCGGATCCGGACTCCCCCATCCACCCCGGGCCGGCACTACCGGCGACATTGGGGGCGTTAGGCGCTTGGACCCTGTGGGCGGAACAATATAACTGTCCTGAGGAAGGACATCAGCCGACGCGCCCCAGCTCATCGGACTGACCAGACACCCGGCCCTCGGGAAGTAGAGATGAAAGACTAATGGGCAGGTGGAAAAAAACTTTTAGCCGCGACGGGTACACAAACGAGCGGCGGCGACCACATTGAATCCGCACGCACGGCGGACTCCTCACCTCCACCACTTCGACCGGGCCCTGCGATGGTTTGTCTAATTTTGGGGAGGTACCCATCGGGACATGGGGGCAGTGGAGGCATGCCTTGTCCCCTGCATCCATCGAGTCGTGGACTGGTGGGGCCTGACGAGGCGTTTGTTGGCCGCCTGCTGCAAGGCCGAGTTGCTCAGAGACGCCTCCCTAGCTTTTGCCAATCGCTGTAGGGTGCATCGATGGAATTCCTCGTCCCATCTCATCAGCAAGCCCCCGTCAAGGAATAACGGCGATACTCTTCATCCGTTACCCTGACCCTGTGCCTTACCGACACGGCGCCGCAGTTTGAGCAGGGAGGCGTCCTCCATCTGGGGTCGCCCCCATTCGTCATGCGTGAGGCATGACGAAATGGGGGCGACTCCATAGTCGCAAAGCCGGGCACAAATCGACGGTAATAGAAGGCAAACCCTATAAAACTTCGCACTTCACCCACCGTCTTGGGGTCGGCCACGTACGCACACACGCCGTTTCGTCGGGGTCTGTCGGTATTCCGAATTCACTCACAATATGGCCCAGATATGGGACCGACCTCTGCAAAAAGCAGCATTTTTGCAGCTTGAATTTTAAATTGGCTGCCCGTATTAAGAAAAAGATGGCTCGCAACCGTTGTTGGAGCTCCTCGAATGTACGTGCAAAGACGTGTGACGTCATCGAGATAGATGAGGCACGAGTCCCACTGGAGCGCTGCCAAAACCAATTCCATAAGCCGTTGGAATGTGGCTGGGCTGGAATGGAGTCCCATGGGAAGGCAATTAAATTCAAACAAGCCTTGGGGAGTTCTAAATTCCGTTTTTGGCTTTGAACTGCCAAAAGCCAGAAAGCAAGTCAAGGGTAGAAAAGAACCGCAC